GAGACTGGGGGTGCTGAGCCTGGGGGTGCTGAGCTTGGGGGTGCTGAGTCTGGGGGTGCTGAGCTTGGGGGTGCTGAGTTTGGGGGTGCTGAGCCTGGTGGTGTTGCAGTTGACTGTGAGGCGCCTGGAGGACCTCCCTCTTCGCAGCAGCTACGTGAGTGGTACTCACGGTACTGCAACCTCCGGCAGGGTGCGTCTCGGGCTCGTGGTGCTACTGGAGTTGGTACTCGTGTTTCCCCACCACGGCGGGAGCCGCCCTCTTCCCCACAGCTTCGAGAGTGGTACGCTCGGCACATCAGTCTCCGGAGTAGAGCTGCTGGTGCTGGGGTCCCCGGAGTTGACGCTGCTGCGGGTGCTGCGAACCCTGGTGCAGGAGGTGCTGCTGCTACTGGCGGTGCTGCTAGAGGTGCTGCTCGTACTGAGGACCCGGGCGTTGGAGCTACTGCGGGTGCTGCGGACCCTGGTGCTGGAGGTGCTGCTGGTGCTGCTGGAGGTGCTGCTACTGCTGCTGGAGTGGAGGACCCGGCGAGTGGAGCTTCTGCTGGTCCTGAGGACCCTGCTGCTGGTGTCTCTGCTGGTTCGGGAGTTGCTTCACGGCCACAGCCGTACTTCGTTCCGCTCCTTCAGCAGGTTCTTGGTCAGCCTCCTCCTCCTTGTTCTCCTCTCGCCTTAGAGTGTCCGCCGTCTGTCCAGTCACAGCCACAGTTACCGCCTGCCTCCCCACTCCCTGTGCCTGCTCCTTACACTGGTCCGACTGGAGGTCTTGCTGAGAGACGTGAGCCTGCGTCACATCCTGTGTCACCTGCGTCTCGTCGAGCGTCGCCTGTTCGTGCTGCTACCACTGGTAGTCGTGTCCCGCGTGAGCATCCTCCTGCTGTCCCAGGCACTCACCAGATGGCGCTTGGTCAGTCCACTGCTCCGCAGCGTGTCGCTCTCCCGTCGCCTCCTGCGTCCTCTCTTCCTGCTCTTGCTGACCCGGAGTCAGACTCCCTTCGCGCTGCCAGTCCTACTGTCACACGTCTCCTGGCTACGGTTGTCACTGACCCTTCCTTTGAGTCCGCTGCTGCGTCTGCCTTAGTCACTGAGCTTGTCGACTTTGCAGCTGCGTGTCGTCTAGACTACGCTGCAAGTCTTGTTGCTGAGTCTGAGTGTGTCTATCCTCCGTCCGTCGGGGGTGAGTGTGCTCTTGGCACGGACGTTCTTGAGGACAGGCAAGAGGAGTTTGGTTGCCTTGCCGCTGCTTTGCCCCATCTCGTGTCCATGCTTGTTGCCCCTGAGGGAGACCCGGATGCACCAGACATCCCGACCCCACGCTCTTACGCAGAGGCGATGGCCGGTCCCTACTCCTCTCAGTGGCAGTCAGCCATGGACACAGAGATGGCATCCTGGAAGTCCACTGGCACCTACGTCGACGAGGTTCCCCCACCTGGGGCGAACATCGTCAGTGGCATGTGGATTTTCAGGGTGAAGCGGCCGCCGGGCTCTCCGCCTGTCTTCAAGGCGCGTTACGTTGCACGAGGCTTCAGTCAGCGAGAGGGAGTTGACTTCTTCCAGACCTTCTCCCCGACCCCGAAGATGACCACTCTTCGGGTTCTGCTACACGTTGCCGCTCAGCGTGACTACGAGCTCCACTCTCTTGACTTCAGCACAGCTTTCTTGCAGGGCAGCCTGCACGAGGAGATCTGGCTGCGCCGCCCACCAGGCTTCACTGGGTCGTTCCCTCGTGGTACCCAGTGGAGCCTCCGGCGGCCAGTCTACGGTCTCCGCCAGGCGCCACGTGAGTGGCACGACACACTGAGGACTACACTTGCGGCTCTTGGGTTCGCTCCTTCTACTGCTGACCCGTCGCTGTTTCTACGCACCGACACCTCACTGCCGCCGTTCTACATCCTCGTGTACGTCGACGACTTGGTCTTTGCCACTTCTGACAGAGCTGGTCTCGCTCACGTGAAGTCCGAGCTGCAGAAGAGACACACGTGCACAGACCTGGGTGAACTGACAAGCTATCTTGGCTTGCGGATCACCCGGGACAGAGCACGGCGCACCATCACCTTGACTCAGTCACACATGGTGCAGCAGGTCCTTCAGCGCTTCGGCTTCACGTACTCCTCGCCTCAGTCCACTCCTCTGCCTACGGGACACTCGCTCTCTGCTCTGCCTTCGGATGAGTCCGTAGAGCCGAGTGGTCCGTATCCAGAGCTTGTGGGCTGCCTCATGTACCTGATGACATGCACTCGACCTGACCTTGCATACCCTCTCAGCATCTTAGCATGCTATGTCGCTCCCGGCCGTCACCGGAAGGAGCACATGGATGCAGCTAAGAGGGTGTTGCGCTACTTGTGCAGTACGTCGGGCATGGGGCTAGTGCTTGGAGGGCGAGACCGGCCTGTTCTCACTGGGCACTTAGACGCTTCTTGGGCAGACGACCAGGCTACTCAGCGGTCGTCTCAGGGTTACACCTTCAGTCTTGGCTCTGGCTCTGTCTCTTGGCATTCTACTCGTTCTTCTTCTGTTCTCAGCTCCAGCTGTGAGGCTGAGATCTACGCCACGGCCATGGCTGCCCAGGAGCTTCGCTGGCTCACCTACCTGCTGACTAACCTTGGAGAGCAGCCTCGTTCTCCTCCAGTGCTGTACGTCGACAACAAGGCAACCATAGCCTTGTGTCAGGAGCACAGACTGGAGCACAGGACGAAGCACATTGCTCTGCGTTACTTTCTAGCTCGAGAGCTACAGCAGCGTGGTCAGCTTCTTCTGCGTTACGTGGCCACTGAGGCCAACACTGCTGATGTGTTCACCAAGGCGCTTCCGCTTGTTGACCATCAGCGTCTTTGCACTCTTCTAGGCCTTGTGCCGACTGTTCCTCACTTGCTTACTTCTTGACTTTGCCTGTACTGTGATCATTATATATATACCTGCATGTTTGCCCTTGCTAGGTTGTGATCATTGTACCTCTTGCTTTATTATAAAACTGCATGTGAACTGGTCTTGTGACCACTTACTTGTGCTCGGAATTTGTGTGGAATCCTCGAGATGCACCCTGAGCTTGTTTGCCTTGCTTTGCCTTGACTGGTCTTGTGACCCCTAGGTCTCCCCACTTTGCCTATGGGGGTGTGTCAAACATTTTATGTTTGTGTGGTTCTAGGCTGTAGTGGGTCACACCATAGGGGGTACACCAGTTTAGGGTTTCATATTTGTACTGTTGTTCCTGCTAGTCACGCCCATTCCTGTTTCTCATTCTGACATGCTCTGCAGGTGAGAGGTTGCGAAGGAGTGCGGTGTATGCGAGGAGGGATTCGTGGTAGTATTGATGCTTCTCCTGGATGGTGCCTTCCGAAGGAAAAGGTAGACTTCCGTCATAGTACATCCAGATCTGAGCGGTTGTCGCGAGAAGCTCGAATTCAAAACTCCACGTGTAGAAATCCTTTCTGTCGAAAGGAATTGAGGTATTCAATTTTGAATTCAGTACAAATTTGGTTTGCATTGAAGCGATGTCTGATTGTGAGCGTTGTTGGTTGTCTTGTGCAGGAGCTGACCCTTAACGATTGTCAAAGGTGAAGGATCTCTCGGAGTTGACGCGGCGGTCTTCTCCAGGAAGGGGAAGTCCAGCAACGCCATGTGCATAGCTTGAGCCGTCAACGCTCATTGCTTGATGGCTTTCAAGGGCGTTGATGCGTGCGACTAGCTCCTCGACGACAGCGGCGCTGACGGAGGTCATTGCTGATGGCGTGTTAGTCGTTGCTGGTGGTGGGCCTGGTGAGTCTGCAGTAGCTTTTCCTTCAGGAGCCATAGTATTGCAGACTTTGAGGTGTAATGAATAACTTTATAAAGGGGTTGTTCTGAGAAGAACGAAGACTTGACGGATCCTATAATCCACTCTAGCTCTCATACCATGTAGATATAACCAGAGGATCCAGTAGACAGGATAGGATCTCAGAAGTCTGGGAGGAGACAATGAAGTCTCTGTAGTGACCTTGTTGAATAATAATTGAAAGAGAACAAGATGATTGAAAGATAGGAGTACAAGGGATTAAATAGAAATCTAGCTAGCCATGTACTCTGAGGGGTACATTCCCTTATTAACTGTATTGCATAGCTACAGTACCCGCGACTATTGCTATCCTCGACAGTTACCATGTTGGAGTGAGTTAACTGTCGCGCGGTTGCTGGATCGTCAAAGGTCACGACCGTTGACTTCCTCAGACGGTTGACATTCGGGTGACCCTCTACATTCCGCATGCTCTATAGGAGCTATTGCGGTACTAGTACAGTGGATCAGCTTCGGGAATGCTTTATATAACCTTTCGGTTGTTTCAACAATATTCCTTGTACTCTTATATAATCTTGTATCTCTCTTTTTTAATTAATCTACTTTGCCCTCACAAAGATCCTAAGGGCTTTTCTCAGCCCAACATTGTCAAGGCGGAGGACCGGAGCGCGGGTTACCAACCGAATCGTGAGGTTGAGTCACGAGGTGTACAGTGGAGGGAACAGTGGTCGAGGCGAGTAACATTTTACTGTTGGGTGCTGTTGGGAGGGAACTGTCATGTATGCGGTAATAAGGGGCGCGAAGTAAGGGAAAGGAATTTTCCATTTTTTTTTAAAGAACGAGTTTGCACTATACCAATGCAAATACATTCACCGTCGTAACAAGAATTTTCCATGGTTTGTACTCGCTTTACACTCTATTGCAATTCTTGCTACTTTGATTCAATTGCACCGGTAACAGTTGGACACGAATTCTGGAATTACGAAGTATTTCTTCACGAACCCCACGACACTAGCCGCGATCGTAACCCCCACCACCTCCTAGGCATTCCACAAGGTGATTATTCCCGTTGTGTCTGCGCGTGTCGTCTTCGCACGCCACTAACCTTTCTCACACCCTATTTCCCGTGTAGGATTCCGCAAAGTAGCGAGCTCGTCTGTTGGCGTTCAAGAATTTCGCGTGTCATCGTTGCCGATTGACCCGTCCAGCGCTCGTCGCCTCGTCCGTCGCCGCCATGCAGAAGGCATCGCGGCCGGGCGACGCGGGCATGTCGAGCATGGAGCGAGTGGTGCGTGGCCGCGGAGTACCTAGTAGGCCCGCATACCTGATCTTCCTAATGTTCTTACACTTTAGCAGTTGTCCCTACCGTCGCCCATACCTGGACCTAATATTCCGGATTCCGCCTTGCTGACGTCATTGTCCCCGTCCCCCTTGCCATGCGCAATCATGTCGACGCCACGCCATCGCCGCCATAACCGCAAATTTTCACACCTTGTCGATCTGCACTGCCACGCGTCGTCTCCGTGGCCCGTCAGAACGCGGAGCTGTTCACGCTGACGTACGGCGCCATGGTGCGGCAGCTGCTGACGGACCTCGAGGATATCGACGAGGTCAACAAACAGCTCGACGCCATGTCAGTCGTGTGCTGTGCTGTGCTCTGCGCCGCTGTGCACTGGAGGGGGGTTCCGCTAAGATGCTGGGCGTTGCTGGTCGTGCTGTGGCGTGGTGAAGGCCATGACGCCCGTGCGGGGCTATGTTTTGTTTTCTGGAAGCCCCACGTGCAAACTGATTAGGGTTTGGCTACTCTGCTTTCTCTCATCGCGTCATTTGTGTGCCTGCATGCTCTGTGAATCTGTAAATTCATCTCATTCTACGTGTGTGCCGCTGGTTACCACGTGTCCTGCAGGGGCTACAACATCGGTGTGCGGCTGATAGACGAGTTCCTGTCCAAGGCCAACGTCACTCGCTGCTCCGACTTCAAGGAGACCGCTGACATCATTGCCAAGGTGAAGCATCATCGCCAAGGTGAGGCATCATCGCCAAGGTGAGGCATCATCGCCAAGGTGAGGCATCATCGCCAAGGTGAGGCATCATCGCCAAGGTGAGACATCATCGCCAAGGTGAGGCATCATCGCCAAGGTGAGGCATCATCGCCAAGGTGAGGCATCATCGCCAAGGTGAGGCATCATCGCCAAGGTGAGGCATCATCGCCAAGGTGAGACATCATCGCCAAGGTGAGGCATCATCGCCAAGGTGAGGCATCATCGCCAAGGTGAGACATCATCGCCAAGGTGAGGCATCATCGCCAAGGTGATGCATCATCGCCAAGGTGAGGCATCATCGCCAAGGTGAGGCATCATCGCCTGGGTCAGATTTATTTGCCAAGGTCTGGCATTCTGTGCCAAGGTTGGATGTTTCATGTCAAGGTCAGTTAAATTCCCTCCATGCTGTCGTTTTCATCATCTGCCGACTCCGTCCCTTGCCCTGCCCCCATCGCCCTCCCTCCTTTCACCATGCGCCTCTCTACCCTCTCCCTGCCATTGCCAATCCTTTATCTCCTCCCCAAACCCAACACTCTCACAGCTGGGCTGCAAGCTGTTTTTGGGCGTGACAGCAACGGTAACCAACTGGAACGTGGAAGCTAGTGAGTCCATTCTCGTACTAACTCTATCCCTCCCTCCTCCCTCCCCCAACCCCCTTCTTCCACCTTCTCCAGCTGGGCTTTAAGATGTTTCTGGGCGTGACAGCAACGGTAACGAACTGGAATGCGGAGGGTAACGAGTGCAGTCTGGTGTTGGACGACAACCCTCTGGTCGACTTTGTGGAGCTGCCTGAGTCCTGCTCCTCGCTCGTCTACTGCAACCTGCTGTGTGGGGTCATCAGGGGTGCGCTGGAGCAGGTATGCAGATGCGGAGCGGGTATGGATGTGGAACATGCGTGGTGTGGGACTGTACGCTAATTGTGCAGCCTGCTGTTGGACGACTCGCAGTTTTTAACTGTGTGGAGCTGCCTGAGTCCTGCTCCTGACTTGGGTACCGCAACCTGCTCTGTGGTGTCATTAGAGGGGCGCTGGAGCACATTCACAAGCGTCATACCCTAAACCTGATGCATGTGAATGCATTGGAGCAGGTATGAATGCGTGTAACAGGTGTGGTGCAGCTGTAGGGCAGTTGTGCAGTCTCTGTGCAGTTCTTTCATGCTCATGATGCGCGTGGGAGCCGTTCTTGCCACCTCCATTGTGGGGCGCAGGTGTCGCTGCGGGTGGAGGTGAAGTTTGTGCGTGATATGCTGCGGGGAGACGACGCGTTTGAGATGCGCGTCAAGCTCATCGAGCAGATGGCTGAGGTGTACCCTTTCAAGGACGCTGACTAGCACCGCACTGCACCACACCGGGAGGTCTACAGTGTTGGACCACAACACTCTCTTCATCAGTACCACTATGTCCTGCATGTGGCTGGCATGCGATCATTCTCCAGTACCATATGTATAATATTCAAGTGTCATCGCCGGGATAGTAAACATATCGGTAAATGAAGTAGCATATAGCCTAGCATACAGTTATAACATGACACTTCATTGTACCTATGAGCAGTTCTCATTAAGTCTAGTCCCTCAAGGTATTTATTGTTTGGCAATGTTGGAAACAATCGGTCCTAAGCGCCTCTGTCGTGTCGAAACACTAAGACACAAAAGAAACGAAGTACCGTATAACGGATCATCGGCGAGTCAACCCTCGGAGGTTGAAAGTAACTGTTGGAGGTTACGCGAAGGTCAGCGACCTTTGACCTGACAAATACAGCGCGACAGCAAGGACACACAACTGACTCGCTACAGAGCAGTTGCCCGAGTCGTCACTGTATCAAACCACAATAGCAATACAGTTATAACTGCATCTCTTCGTATTCCTTGTACTCATATATAAACCTGTATCCACCTGTTTTAATCAACTCACTTTGCCCTCACATAGTACTAGCGCAAGGTGGTTCACAACACTTTAATTAACGCTTCCGCTACTACACCAACTCTACCCAGAGTTCACCCCTGCAAAGATCCTAAGGGGTTTTTCAGCCCAACATGGTATGAGAGCAATCAAGGGGAATTCTGTTGTAGGCTGAAGTGCCCTAGGATCTTTGTAGAGTTTAAGTCTGAGTAGAATTGTAGTAGCGGAAGCGTTTGAATGAAAGTACTTGAACCACCTTGCGCTAGTATGTGAGGGCAAAGTAAGTGACAAAGTTTGAAGAAAGAAAAGAGGAGTGAACTAGCAGAAATGGGGATACAAATAGCAAACCCTAGAAGGGTTGTACTCGCTATAGAGCACCCCACTACAGGCTAGAACATAAGAATAATATTCTGACAGTAAGTTGATTAAACAAGCAAATGCAAAGGTTTATATAAGAGTACAAGGAATACGAATAGATAAGTTAAAACCGTTTTACTGTTGCGTTTCGATACAGTGCGACTCGGGCAACTGCTCAATGTCGAGTCAGTTGTGTGTCCTTGCTGTCGCACTGTATTTGTCAAGTCAAAGGTCGCTGACCTTTGACCTTCTCGTAACCTCCAGGCGGTTACCCTAACCTCCGAGGGTTGACTTGCGATGCTTCGATTCGGACTGCTTCGCTAGTGTCCTGAGTTTCGACACGACAGAGGCGCTTAAGACTTATTATTCCCAACACTCCCCTTCGCTTCTGGAGTGTCGCTGATGGTGATGTGGCCTTGTCCGGTCAGCATCATGCAGTACTCGAACTTCTGTTTTCCGAGCTTCTTGGTCAAATAATCGGCTGCCATCTCGGACGTGGGACAGTAGGATAATTCGAGTTTCCTTTTCTCGATCTCGTCCTTCACGAAGAAGTATCGCAGAGCGATATGCTTCGTTCTGTTCGCGAATCCGCTTTTGTTGGCGATGCGAATTGCAGATTGGTTGTCGCAGAATAGGGTGAAGTTGGGTAACTCGGCTAATTTTGCTTCTTCCAGCAGCTCGCGAAGGTAGAGTCCTTCCTTGGTGGCTGAACAGAGGGCGATATATTCTGCTTCAGCTGAAGAGAGAGCAATTAGTTCCTGCTTACTCGACTGCCAGGAGATAGGTCCGATAGGCTCGAGACGATAGACGTAGCCAGTGCGAGAGCGCCTGTTATCAGAATCGCCGGCATGGTCAGCATCGACGTAGCCGATTAGTTTCGTCGTCGTAGCTTCGCCTTTGTAGTAAGTCAGGTCGATCGTCGGTGTGCTCACGAAGTAGTGTAGTGCGCGATCGAGCTCCGCCAGATGCTTTGCTTCGGATTTCTTGAGATAGGTGGCGAGTTGGCTTGCGGAGTAGGATAGATCCGGGCGACAGGTGACAGCTGCGAAGAGAAGGCTGCCCAGTTTCCTTTGGTAGTCTCGTATTCCGGCAGCTTTGAGTGGAGCGGAATTTCCCTTGTCGTTTCCTGCCGTGTAGCGGTATGGTGTGGCGATGGCGGTAGGTGTGAGTGAAAAACGTTTGGCGATGGTGTCGGCGTATTTCTCGGCGCTTAGGTAGATCGCATTTTCTTCTTCGCAGATGTTGAGCCCGAGGTACTGGGTCACGGTAGAAGAGACCGTGAGCGTGAGGTCTTTCTGCAGCTCCCCTTCGAACCAGGTGGTGACGTCGTCGGTGGAGCCGATGTAGAGCAAGTCGTCGACATAGACGATCAGTAGGATGTAGTCTGCGCCTTTGGTGAGGCGGTACATTCCTTGGTCGTGAGGCAGTTGGCGGAATCCGATGCGAGTGAGGCGGGTGTGTAGGTGCTGTTGCCACTGTCGCGGGGCTTGTATGAATTCGTAGAGCGATTTCAGTAGTTGGCAGATCTGATTAGGATTTCCGTGAGTGCCTTGTGGGAGTTCGACGAAGATTTCGGCGTCGACGGGTGCGTAGAGGAATGCGTTGGCAACATCGATTTGTCGCAGCTTCTTCTTCTTCATGGCGGCGACGGCGAGAAGGATTCGGAGAGAGGTATGTCGACTGACTGGGGCGAATGTTTCGGTGAAGTCTCGTCCTTGCTCCTGGTCGAATCCACGCACGACCCAGCGTGCTTTGAACTTCTCGATTGTGCCGTCAGCTTTCGTCTTGATGCGGAAGACCCATTTCCCGGTGAGAATGGTCTTGTTCCGTGCCACGCTTGCGGGAACGACCTTTCAGGTGTTGCGTTCCTCTAATGCTTTTAATTCCCTGTCCATGGCTTCACGCCATTTCTCCCTGTGTTCCCCCCCCAGAGCCTGCTGAACCGTCGCAGGCTTTTTAGGAAGCGTGCTGCCTGTGTTCCCGTGGACTGCGGTGACGAGACGAAGGATTTACAGCCCAGTCTGTGAGTATCGGGGGAGTGTTGTATCCTCTGGATAAGCTGCTTCGTCTCCTGCTTCTGGATCGGGTATGAAATTTGGCCCTATCCTTTCTGCTTCATTTGTGTTGACTATCGCAGGTGTTACGTAACCGTTGTCGGCGAAGTGATAGAAGACTTCGGCGTTGTTACTCTCGCGAGGATTTTCTTCGTCCATGGGCACGTCGACGGAGCAGTACGGGAGAGGTCCGGCTTCTTCCGATGCGTTGTCGACGTTCTGTTCATCCCAGTCTGCTTCGTCCGCTGCTGAGGCGAAGGCTCGGTCACCACGAAAGCCACCTGTGAGGTCCCGATTCTCGTGCAAGTTGGCGAGGTACGTCTGAAGGGTGAGTCGCTCGTAGAAGATCACATCACGTGCTGCTACTGTTTCCTTTGTGTGGACGTCGAAGATTTTCCACGCGTTGTAATGTTTCTCGATGCCGAGGTGTAGTCCCCACTGTGCCCGTTGTGAAAATCTTCCCGCTCGTGCTTCTTGGGGTCTGTACTGTACCATGCATCCGAAAACTCGTAACATTTTTGTGCTGCCCAGCTTCCCTGTCCACAGCAGATGCGGTGAGGCGTTGTTCGGGAGTGACGACGACGACAACAAGTTGTGCAGCATGACAGCGTGGTCCATTGCTGCAGGCCACTGGTGGTTGGGTAGCCGCATGCCACGTAGCAGTTTGCGCATGCTGTTTTGCAGAGTCCTGTTCATTCTTTCTGCTACTCCTTGCTGCTGATGTGCGTAGGGAAGGGAGAGGAGTTGCTTGATCCCTCTTTCCGCCAGGTACTGCTTGAAGCGCTGAGAGGTGTACTCTCCTCCTCCGTCTGACTAGAAGCTTTTCAGTTGTGTTCCTGATTCCCTCTCTGCTACCGGTAGCCAAGCGGCGAATGCTGCGAGTGCCATGTCGCGGCTGGGTAGGTTGCGATGCCAGACGTATCGAGTGGCGGCGTTGATGAAGGTGATCGTGTAATTGTAGGTGACTTGTCCTGGTTCTCAATTGTAGAGGATGTCGCTGTAAATTTTCTCGAGTGGTGCGTATGCAGGTGCGCTCGGGTTGTGGTGAGAGGAAAACGGTCGATGGGGTAAGTCGGCTTCGGGGCAGATGAGGCAAGTCCCTCGTGCACGTTGAAGTTCTCTGCCGTCGAGTAGTAGTAGCGAATCCTTGTCTAGAACTCCTGCTCGTATTGTGTTGTTTAACACCGTATTGCTTGGATGTCCTGTGCGTGTGTGCCAGATGTCTTCAGGAGCGCGATGTCCGGGTGAGCGTTGATACGCGTCAGAGTTGGAGTAGAAGTTGGCGACGATGTTTGCGCTTCGGTGGACTTCTCGTTGAGTCGGGTTCAGCTGTTGTGCGGGTGTTGGTGGTGTTTCGATGACTGGTGTCGTTGGTCCTGCTGCTTTCGATGATGGTTCTGCTGCTGCCGATGATGGTTCTGCTGCTGCCGATGTTGTCTCTGCTGCTGTCGATGTTGTCTCTGCTGCTGTCGTTTGTTGAATCGTTGCTAATGCTCGTGTTCGTTCTAATTCAGGGATGGTGTGCGAGTACCAGAAACCTCCTGGGCTGAAGTCGGGATCGAGATCCGGAGGATGAGTCCAGTCGGTGAAGTTGACGATGGCGTCGCTGTCTGCAGTGCCCAGGTCGGGGACGAAATCGAGGACGAAGACGTTATTCTTCAACACTGCTTTTCCGATGTAGAGGCCGCCCTTCCCGTGGTATAACTTAAACTCCTGGGTGGTGCTGTCGGCTTCCAAGTGGATGCCTTTCGCCATCAACTCGCTGACACTCAGTAAGTTGTAGCCTAGTCCCTCCGCGATAAGTACCTTTGACATGTGTAATATGACATTTGTTTCTCGTGACTGAAGCTGTACCGCTCCTTGTCGTCGTGTGCGCAGGTTCTGATTGTTGGCGACCGTGATGACTACTTCTCGCTGGAGTCGATGTTCGCGTTGAACGAAGCGCCCGGAGGAGCACATGTGTTGTCCGCAGCAACTATCTAAGAACCAAGTGTCTTGGCCAGATGGTTCGCTTTCAGCGA